GCATGAAGGGTGGGGTGCATGTTCTGAGCCTGATGAGTCATCAGAGGTAATTCCCTGTGAGTCCTAAGGGTCCAGCCAATCCACAATCAAGGGGACCCCAAGGCAGGGATAGAGGCACCTAATGAAAGCAGCCACTCCAGTCTGCTCACTGTTGTTACCTTGTTGGGAATACTCCCAGATGCCCAGTAGTTCAGATACACTGCTCCTGCTCCTACTCCAGCCAGTTGCCCAGCTGTCCTGACAAAGGGCAGCAATGACGCCTCACCCCTCCTCCCCAGATGAGCCTGGTCCTTTTTACTCAAACATTCTTTTGCCCTTCAGCGATTTCACTGCTTATTGGAACTAAAGTCTCTGGGCTAGATTCTGAGCCAGCAGCTTGATGTCAGTGGAGTTTGCTGATTTACACCAGCTGAGGCTCTAGCCCTAGTTTTATAAAGACCCGGTTGAAGTCTCGTGGCTAGTTAACCCCTCGTGCCGTTCCCGTGACTTCACTGGAGTGACATCGGAGATGAATTTGATCAGCCGTGTCTCATCATTTTCCAAGCACCCAGATGGCAAATGGCTCTGTGTAGCTCCAGTTCTTGTTGCTTCTGACTGTCTGTGCTTACTGATGATACAATGTGTAATATTGCTATTTGTGGCATTGCTATTGCGTTGTTTCCATAGTGTTGATACCACGGCGCACTGATGGTATTGATACTGTCATGTGTGTGTTATAGACGCCCCGATGTTTCTCTGTAGAGGTGGGACCAGGATTTGTTCAGATCCCTGATCAAAGCTGGACCCTGATTCAGGAGCTGGGATTTTGGTTCAGCCCATTGTGGAGAAAAGGATCTTGCTGTGAAGTTTGGGTCTGGATTCTCGAAGTCGGTGTGTATGAACCTTGGGCTTTCCATTGGACTTATCCCATTCACACAGGACGATGTTTTCCTGATACTGATATTGTTATCTAGCCACCTCTTTGTCTATCTGTTTAGATATCACCATGGCATCTGCACACACAAATGTTAATACTAATATTGTGAGGGGTGGTCATAGCAGCCAAACACTATTAAGAGACAAACATGGAGATTAATCACAAATTTCTGGAGTACTATCATTTCATGGATTCGCATCTATAAATAGTCTTTAGATAGGTTCTTCAGTGTTTTTACACTGCTAAAGGTAGCCATCTTACAGCAAAAAAACTTCAGGACCAGACTCCAAAGAGAAACTGCTGAGCTCCAGTTCATTTGCAAATTTGACACCATCAGCTCAGGATTAAACAAAGACTGTGAATGGCTATCCAACTACAGAAGCAGCTTCTCCTCCCTTGGTGTTCACACCTCAACTGCTAGCAGAGCACCTCACCCTACCCGATTGAACTAACCTCGTTATCTCCATACTGATTTATACCTGCCTCTGGAAATTTCCATTACTTGCGTCTGATGAAGTGGGCATTCACCCACGAAAGCTTATGCTCCAATACTTCTGTTAGTCTTAAAGGTGCTACAGGACCCTCTGTTGCTTTTTATAAGACCGATGGGTGATTTCTGGTATGTTTAAATCTCTTTATTGTTTTGTATATGTTTTCACTGTAATGCTTTTGCCTTGAGAATAAATGTACTTTGCTTTGGAAGAGCTGTGTGATCACTGGTGAAAATACTGCCATTGTCCTCGGGGAGAAAGCACCACATAGTGGCTGGCCTATAGGCTGACTGGCTTGCTGGGAATATCAGTGTATGGCAGGAGTTGTCCAGACTTAAAAGCCCTGGTCAGGAGAGAGAGAGATGAAAGTCTCCACCCAAGAGAGATGGTGGCTGGGAACCTGAAACCTTGACTGGGTGCCCTCAAGGGACCACGAAGGAGGAATACAGGTGCAGTCACCCCTGCAACGGCGACAGTAGGCACTAGACTATCTCTCTTTTAAGATATGCTGCACATTACAGCGACATATGAGAAGGTGTGAGATAACGTTCCATCGCTTGGGACCTTTTACATCTCATCTGAAAGGCAGCAGTTCTATGTGCGTAGTGCGCCCAACACCATACCAGCTATTGGTAGAGTGGGAAGAGCGCAATATGCTTATTGACTCCCCAGCCCCACGGGGTCATTAGAACGCCATTCAGGTTATGTCCTGGAATACCTGAGACTCTATATACTTAGTGGTCTTGAGAAGGACTCTGCAAAGGTACCGCATGCCCAGCGGTGACCCAGGAAGTGTGTAAGGAAACAACGTTCTAATGGGCACAGCGTGTCTAATTAAACAGTGCTATTATGCAAATTGCAGCACACGCTTGCTTTG